GATTAATTCTTCAAAAAAAAAAAAATTAAAAGCCAATTCACCCTCTTTTGATTAATTTTCTTAGGTTTTTAAGTGGTAACAGAGCGAGGTGCTCATTTTGAATTTAAAGATTTAACAACCTTGAGTAATGGCTAACCACAATTTTCAAAATATTGAGAGGCATTCTACAAATCGTCTTCCTTCTTTTGGAACGTACACATTATAATTATTGAAAAGTTAGAATAATGATTTATTTTCAATCAATAGATTATAATGTATGGAAAATTATTGAATTTGGTCCCTATACGCCTAAAGAGGTTATCAAAGTAGCTCGCGAATCGAATTAAATCATTCCATAGCCTATAGAGGAGTACAATGATAAAGATAAAAGAAATTTATCGTCGAACATTAGAGGCTATCTAAAGCACAAGAAAGTATATTTTTGAACGTACACATTATAATTATTAAAAAGTTAGAATGATGATTTATGTTCAATCAATAGATTATAATGTTTGGAAAATTATTGAATTTGGTCCCTATATGCCTAAAATGGTTGTCAAAGTAATTGGTAAACCGAATTAAATCATTCCATAGCCTAAAGAGGAGTACAATGATAAAGATAAAAGAAAGTTATGTTTAACACTAGAGCCAAAAATATACTTTCTTGTGCTTTAGATGGACATGAATTTAATCGTGGTAACACATGTGATTCTACTTTTGATATTTGGCATGCCTTTGAAGTTACTCGCTTGGGCACTAGCAAATTAAAAGAAACAATAAATGTTTTGGTAAAGGAATTTGAAATTTTCTTTATAAAGCAAAACAAACATATTTTCGATATGATTACTCGCTTCACCGATGTTGTTAAAGGCCTTAAAGGCTTTGATCGTAAATTAGTCTCTTTTAATAATTAATTCATTTGGATCATTTATTAAGAGAGAGTTGTCATTATAAAATCATTTATTCTAAACTTGTGGGTCGTACTGAGATCTTGTGAAAGCTCAATAGTATATTGATCGGTGCTCAATGTTGTAAATCACCGTGTGGGTCATATTGAGGTCTCGTAAAACTCAACATTGTATAAGGATTGGTTCTTCTCATTTGTAAGTCGTCGAAAGCGTTGTAAAGGATTGGATTGCACCATAAATCAATCAATATAGTGAAAAGGATTTGCTCGTGCCGTAGAGTTTGGGAATGGAGGACGGATCTAACCTTCACAATTATATTGTTTGCATCCCCTCTTCTTTTTACTTATTACTTTTATATTTGCGCTTATTGTATGAATTAATCTATTTAGTCTTTACTTGCTTGAATTTAGATTAATTCTTCAAAAAAAATTAAATCCAATTCACCCTTTCTTTGTTAATTATTCTTAGGTTTTTAAGTGGTAACAGAGCGTGGTGCTCATTTTGAATTTAAAGATTTAACAACCTTGAGTAATGGCGAACCACAATTTTCAAAATATTGAGAGACATCCTACAAATCGTCCTCCTTTTTGGAGCGTACACGTTATAGTTATTGAAAAGTTAGAATGATGATTTACGTTCAATCAATAGATTATAATGTATGGAAAATTATTGAATTTGGTCCCTGTATGCCTAAAAAGGTTATTAAAGTAGCTGGTAAATAGA